AGATGATTTGGAATAAGAATACGTAAAAAAAAAATTTCGATTTTTTGAAAATTCTAACCGGTACTAGTACCTTAAACAAAATTAGCTTAATCAGGAGAGTTTTTGACGTTAAAAATTTTTTAAACAAAATTTTTACCTCAAAAACTATTTATGTAAGTGGAAATAAATAAGTAAAATGTCATCCGAGCGAGCGAGGAATATGACACTAGTATATTATTAATATATTTAATTATTTCTACTAAACATAACATTTTATGTCAAACTTATTAAATTTTAGCAATTTTTAATAAGTGTCTCACAACTGGAGACATTTTTTTTTGAAAAAAGCGACGTGCTCGGAAAATATATCGTAAAATTTTTTGAGTTTATTGAAACACTACACTTTCTTTGAATAACAGTTGCGTATTTCTGTTACCTTTCGAACGGTGTATTTTATTTACATTTACAATTTCGTTTACCCGTTTACAATTTACGGGTCAAAAATAAAACCCGTGGAGACTCTCCTCTACTATATATATATTCTGGAATCAGTACAAGATAGAAATTATTTATATCTCTTCTAATTTTTTTGACGTTTAAGAATCGTTTCATAGAAGGATTAATTTTTTCTATCGAACAATTAATTAACTAAAAGTGAATTCTTCAATAATAAGAGTTTTTAAATTTTTGTTGATTCAAAATAAGATACTTTTCTATTTTTTAAGTAATTAAAATAAGTGACACCAACAATGTGAAGATCGAAAATTTCATGAACATTAAGTAAGTAATTTTATTATTAAAATATGATATTTCAAATTTTTTTTTAATTTAAGGAGTTTTTGAAAGAAGCAGTTTTTTTCTCTATGTTTATTTATTTTTTTTGTAATAATATTAATAATATCAATTAAAAATTGTGACAACCCGGTCGCGAGAATTAAATTTAGGGTGATATTAATTGAAGAGTTCTCGGGGATGGGGACGACTCGAGACGGGAGGCACAAAACTTGAGTGGAAGCTCCAGCAGCGAGCAAGTAAAGCGATTGAGAAAGGCTGCGAAGTTGTCGTCCAATCGGCCAGAAGAGAGAGCAAATGGTGTAGAGCGAACTTACCGGTTAACAGGCGATCCTCGTGGCGGTTAATCCTATTTAGTGGCAATAATATTCCAAAAGGATGAACAAATCACTGAGAATTAGTTAACAGAACGTTTATTTTATTATCAGTAACAAGAAAAGGCGCGGATACAGTGTCGTAAACGGTAATTACAACGCGGTAACCTTATATCGTATATTCGCAAAGGCTCGCATCTATCTGGCGAGAGCAACAAGTCTCGCCGGCGTCGTGCGAGTCGTCTGCTAAGTGCAGTCATGCGCGCTACTTTGGCGCGCGAATTTGAATGCGCTCGGGGAATGAACTCGGGTAAAGGAACAACTATTTCGTAAAAAAAAGATAAGACTATCTGGGTCGTCACACTCCCCCCTTCTAGGTTGGAGTTACAACCCGGGTTCATTCCCGTTCGCTCTGACCATAAGCGGTCACTCATCCCTTCTGGTCAAGTAATAGAACTAAAGAAAAAGAGATCATTTGAAATTATAAAATAAAATGTTTGGTATTTTTCCTTTTTTTGAGAATAAACTAAAATTATTTTATATAATGGACGAAGACAGCCGTTCTCTCTTTTGCAAAATTTGCCTTATAGTTAATCTGTTTAAACTTAAATATACGGTTTTTTTTATTGAGAAAAAAAAATTTTTGAAAAAAGAAACCTTGTGGCATGATCGTTGAAAGAAAATAAAAGTATATTTTTTTGTATACGCGTAATGACGCGACTAAATGATTTATAGAAAGAAAAAAAAATAAGAATTTTTCGGAAATAGCGCAACGGCGCGGAAAAGAAAAAGGTTTCGAAGTAGCCCAAGGACGGTTGGAGTGCTGGCGATGATCATCCTCTCCTGGTGGCCTGTGAGTCGCTTTCTTCAGAGGTGGTGGAAGCTATGTCCAGATTGTCAGGTCGCTTCGAATTGGAGTCAGCCGTCAAATTGAGCGATTCAGTCCTTCTGTTGGAAGTGGGGGGCTGCGCTACGACAGCGGGTGCTTTTGATATGGTGCCAGTGTAAGTGGTGGTTGCAGTTTGTTTGCGAGCCTTGTTTTCCATCTCTATGGCGAGGTCATACTTCTTGGCGGTAGTCTTCTCTATCATTATTTTCCTGCATTGCGCGCAACAGGGGTTGGGCTGGTTTTTTGGTTGCCAGCAGCGCTTGCAACAAAGATGCGGCGGCAAAGAGGGAATTTTCTTATTTTCGTAATGAGGCCATGGACAATCTTGTGTGTTGAAGTCCGGGCAGTCGCATTCTTGACAGAATTTTCCGGAGTAAGATTCAGGACAAGAATTATGGCTGTGACCTTCTTGTTTGCAGTTGATACAGCCAGGTGGTAGTTTCTTTCGGAGGCAAGGTTCGCGCATATTGGCTTGCGCGGTGTAGACTTCTGTGATTGTTTGTCTAAAGAGGTCCTTGTAATTCTTGGCGAGAGCAGCTTGGCGTTTGAAGTTTTTATGACTCTTGAGAAGATCGTCCCAGTCATACTCGAATGCTTCGAGTTCTTGGCGCAGCTTGGCTACTTCTTCCTCGTGTTTGCGCGCGTTGTTTTGCGCAGTGAACAGGTCTTCGGTTAGTCGTTGCTTCTCGTTAGCCATAGCGTATACTGCCTTGAATTGCTCCTCGTAGAAATTGCCCATTGGTGGTGGGGGAAATTTTCTCGCTTCCGAGAGTTCCTCTTCGAGTTTAAGGTTGTGAGTGTTTGCCTCGTTCAAATTTATTGCGAGCAAACGGCGCGCGAGAAGAATGGTTTGAAAGTCCTCCTTTTTTAGCACAACAAGGCCAGGTGACTCCTCTCCGAAGGCCGGGTCTGACAAATCTGTCAGTAATTGCTCCAGTGTGGACTCGAGACGTAAGACTGTCAGTTCCGCTTGGCTGGAGGCGTTGTCGTTGACGTTGGGTGCATTGGAGTTCTCCATGGTTGTTTTCGATCTGAAAATGGTTAAGTTCGCGATCGTAAACCTTTCTTTGCGCGTTTTAGATCGTTGACATGATATTTACCTAATTTTTTACCGTGCTTATCACCAATGATAACCACTACGGGTGACAATTTTTCTAAGACAACCGCAGGACCTCGGTAGCGTGGTGCTAATTTAGAACTAAAATTTTAAGCGGCGTTAGACAGAAGATTATTTGGATAAAATACCAAATCTCCTGGCTCGAAGGAAATGTCATGCTTTCGATTTTTATTAAATTTTTTACTTTGTTTCTCGCTGGCCTTTTTCATTGATAATTCAATTTTTGCGCGCAGGTCATCTATCCGTGTCACACGTTCCAACCAATCGTGAACAGTGTCTTCTGTAGTGTTGTCATTTGTGTCGAGTGGTTGTTTACCTGTGCGTTTAGGTTCGCGAGCAAAATTTAAGTAAGCGGGGGATACGCCGAGTGACGTATAGACAGTCGTGTTGTAAGCGAATTGAATTTCGCTCAGCAACTTATCCCAGTCGCGGTGATCCTCGCCGAGGAGGCTCGCGATCATCGTTTTGAGATTTCGATTAACGCGCTCGACGGGATTGGACTGTGGGTGGCAGACGGAAGTTGTTCGTTGTTCTGATCCGATCTCTGTTAAAAATTTAGAGATAGCGCGGTTTACGAATTCTGTTCCGTTGTCCGTAATAAAAATTCGCGGCGTTCCCCATTTGTTTACGAGTGTGTTTAATGAGTTCACGATTTTGGGGCCGTCTGCCTTTGATAGTGGGAAACATTCGATATAGCGTGTGTATGTGTCTTCACAAACTAACACGTAACATTTTCCTGCTTTCGATCGCGGCATGGGGCCTATAATATCGAGTGATACGATTTCCCATGGTTCTGTAAATTTGCGCGGGTACATCAGGCCTTGAGGCGGGGAATTGTCAGGTTTGCAACGAAGGCAAATCTCACATTCTTTGATATAGCGCCTTACATCTTCACGCATACCGGGCCAGTAATAAGAATTCAATATTGAATGGTAAGTCTTGTTAATTCCTTGGTGCGCGGATTGTGGAGAATCGTGATGTTCTGTAAGAATTGCAAGGATTTCAGATTCTTTGAGAACCTTTTTCCAGGCATTATTGTCACCTATTGTTTCTTTCAGGTGATTGGGCTTGTAATAAAATAGTTCGCCGTCTGGGCTCTACACAACAGCCTAGAAAAAAGGCCAGCAGGTCAAACTTCATTTGGACCGACTCCCAAAAAACAGATGCGGACAACTCACCCTCCAAAACAAGAGGAAAGACGATCCTGACTCCCACTGCTACCGACTGCACTAGTGACCCTGGGGGATGGGGAACGCCGCCGGATAAAAGCCCGAGCCCTCATAGACCCTTGTTCAGAAGCCACCTTGATAGAGAATACCCTGGCACGGAAACTAGGCACTCATCTAGAAAATCACCAACTGAGCATCTCTGGCATAACAGGGTCGCCTATGGACTCAGCAAGAGTCAAGACCAAAATCTTCTTACATCCAACAGGTCAACAGGACCCGATACAAGTCGAGGTTTATGGACTTAATCACATTGGCATTACCACTTCAACTTTCGTGCTAAATCACAATGTCAACGAATTCAGTGGACTCAAACTCGCCGATCCGGACTTTGCAACACCAGCCAAAGTTAACATCATACTCGGCGCAAACGTTTACAGTCAAATCCTCCGTCCAGGAATCGAAAAAATGAACCGAATCCTAGCCCAAAACACGGTCTTCGGTTGGATCATCACAGGAGTCACCAGAGGAAGAGATAACGATACGACAGTGAACGTTGCCGTGATTCCCTCGGACGGTACATAGCCCCTATACTTTTGAACAACGAAGCGCTCAAATCGTTAGGATCAAGTCTGTCAGCAGCTCGACTCGTTTTACTGACACAACAACGAAGAATGCAAAAAGATGACCAACTCAAGGAAGAATACGTCCGATTCATGAAAGAGTACTGTTAATTAGGTCACATGAGAAGGCTATCTCCACAGGAAATAAAAGACAATTCTATTAAGAGCAATTACATTCCTCACCATGGTATATGGCAGCGAAACGATGACAGCAAAAAACTTAGAGTCGTCTTCAATGCATCTCGCCCGACATCATCAGGTCACAGTCTCAACGACGCCCTCTACGCTGGACCAAAACTGCAGAGTGATATAGCCACCGTCGTTACCCATTGGAGGCAGTACAAAGTCGCGTACTGCGCTGACATCAAGATGATGTTCAGACAAATCCGAATCAGACCAGAGGACACTCATCTCCAAAGAATCATCTGGAGTCCAGATCCCGATCAACCCGAAGAACACTTCGCTCTACTTACCGTTACTTTCGGAGAAGCATGTTCTCCGTATCTCGCATTACGAACACTCAAACAACTTTGCGAAGATGAGGGGGGTCCATATCCCGAGGCAGTGAAATCCATTCAAGATGATCTCTACGTGGACGATTTCTTAAGCGGGGGAAGAAACTTAAAGGACGCAAGGCAGCGCAGAGATCAACTCATACAGCTCTTGAAAAGAGGAGGATTTGAACTGAAGAAATGGGTCTCCAACCGTCCTGAACTCTTAGAGGACATACCACCTTCTGACAGACTGCGACCAAGCTGGCGACACTTCGAGGTCGGAGGCCTTGTCACTGAGTTAGGACTCGCATGGGACCCAGTCGCTGACAAAATTAGATTCTCACCACCCAAACTCGGTCAAGACGAAGTCATCACCAAACGAAAGGCTCTATCTGAACTAGCAAAACTGTTCGATCCCATTGGCTGGCTCGCACCTTTAATCGTAGTCGGCAAAATGCACATACAAGATCTCTGGAGGGCCAAACTGCCATGGGACGAACAACTTCCAAAGTCGATGAACTCACGATGGATGAAGTTCCGGGAAGACGTCAGCAAACTTGATATCCTTTCCGTACCGAGATGGATCAACTTTGCGCCTGGCTGTCCAATGCAACTTCACGTCTTCGCGGATGCCAGCCGACGTGCGATGGCAGCGACAGTGTATTCTTGCACTAAGAACTCTGCTCACCTATTAGCAGCCAAAACCAAGCTGTCACCGATCAAAAGCCTGATCCCCACGACCAAACCCAACGCGAGAATGACGATTCCACGATTAGAACTCCGAGCGGCTCTTCTAGGAGCAAAATTAATCCAACTACAAGCCGAAGCACTTGGCGTTAAGTTGCACGACTGTTTCGCATGGAGTGACTCGCAAGTGGTTATAAGCTGGCTTAATTCAATTCAACCAATGGGAAATGAATTGGTGGACAATTATATCGTCCACATTTAGGAACTGCTACCAGGCGTCAAATGGCGATACGTACCGTCAGAAACCAATCCAGCAGATCTTGCCACGAGAGGTACCGACATCGAAGGTCTAGCTAGCAATCGACTCTGGTGGCAGGGTCCCTCCTGGCTCCAACAAAACCAAGAAGAGTGGCCTCAAGAAATCTCGACTAGCTCTGCTAACGTCCCAAACAACGAAACCCTGCCCTCTCTCCATTGCCTCGCAACTCAAGCGACCGAGACAATATTCGACCGATTCTCCTCCCTTATAAAACTTCAGAGAGCCTTAGTTCGATGCCGAAGAATATTCCAATCCCCAAATACCCAGGTCGACCAGATCCCTCCGCTCGCACCTACAACTACTGAGGAAATGAAACGGGAATTTCTTACATGTGTTAAGATGTCACAAGAACAAGACTTTTCGCACGAGATTCAACTCTTGGGACAAGGTAAATTTGTTTCGGTTGGGAGTGCCATAGCTCGATTAAAGCCGTTTCTAGATGAACAGACCATCCTAAGGGTCGGTGGAAGACTTGAAAATTCATCCCTTAACGATGAGGAAAAACACCCCCCCCCCTTCTATCCAGCCACAGTCATCTAGCCGACCTGATTATAGACTGGGCTCATCAAAGAGCTCTTCATGCAGGTCCGACGGTAACTTACTCCTACGTGTTGAGGAAGGCATGGATCATCGGAGGCAGAGCCAAAGTCAAATCCTTCGTCCGACGATGCGTAGTCTGTAGCAAAACCTCAATGAAGACGACAACCCAACTCATGGGTGATCTGCCAGCAGCACGAGTCAATCCGTCAAGGCCGTTCAGCAGAGTCGGCGTAGACTACGCTGGACCATTCCAAATCGCTAGGTCAAAGGGAAAAGGAATCTCAACGTCCAAAGGATACGTCGCCGTCTTTGTTTGTCTAGCAACCAAGTCCATCCATTTAGAACTTGTTGGCGACCTCACCACGGAGAGCTTTCTTGGAACCCTGTCTCGTTTTGTCGGTCGTCGTGGACGCCCGGTCGAATTATGGAGTGATAACGCTACCAACTTTCGGGGAGCTGACCTTGAGCTCCACAAACTGTTTCTCGAAGCCAAAATTGATTGGAACAGAGTAAAGGACATTCTTAGTTGGTACCGCACTCACTTTTATCCCTCAACCTTCCTTAGCCGAAGCAAACTTAGACCGCCTCAACCACTGGAAGCTCGTGCGTGAAATGCGCGACCACTTTTGGCGCAGATGGTCCCTAGACTATTTGGATACACTACAGCAGAGGGCTAAATGGACAAGGAGCAAACCAAATCTCAAAATTGGAAACCTGGTGATGGTAATAGACCCATCATTGTTGGGACCTCATGGACACTGGCCCCTCGGACGCGTTATTGAGACACAATGTGGCACAGATGGATTGGTACGAGTAGTCACCGTCAAAACGCAGCGTGGAGTCTACGTAAGACCGGTGACAAAACTGGTTCGTCTGCCCATTCTTTCGAGCACTGTTGAGGAACTCGAAACGGCGGGCGGCAAATAATAACCCACCTAACGTCTTCCTTTTTTTTTACTTACGTCCTGCAAGGACACTGTGTTGATATTTTGTATTACCAAGTTATGTTATTGTTGCCAATGTTACCTGTTTAAGTTCTTTCGAAAAGTCTTTCGTTTTAATATTTCGTTTAAGGAACGAGGCGGGCGGGAATGTTCGGGAAATAATGTTCCCGTTCGAATCTTCGCTCCCTTCCTGCGGGTCTTGTCCCCACCCTTATCCTATGATGGGGGCGTGGGCTACGGAATACCTCTAAGGATAATTTTCACAGTGAGTCCAATATAAAAGCTGAGTTCGAGTGCGCAAGAAGTGAGTAGCTGTACTTCAAACCCACGTCGAAGTGTATTTGTTAATTGATAATTGTTAAGTATCACGAATTGTATATCTTATGTAATCGATTTCATGTAAAATAAAGAGTTCAACAAAATAATACAACAGGTTACAAGGAAATTGATATTGGTTACAAGGAAATTAATATTGGTCACAAGGAAATTGAAAATAAAGATAATTGGATGAATTGGAAGTAAAAACAAATGATATTGGAATTGATAATTGATATTGGTAACAAGGAAATTGAAAATAAAGAAAATTGGAAAAATTGGAATTGAAAATTGATATTGAAATTGCGAAAATTGATAGTGGTTACAAGGTTGGTTACAAGGAAATTGAAAATAAAGAAAATTGGAAAAATTGGAAGTAAAAACAAATGATATTGGAATTGAAAATTGATATTGGAATTGTTGAAAATTGATATTGGAATTGAAAATTGATATTGGAATTGAAAATTGATTACAAGGAAATTGAAAATTGATTACAAGGAAATTGAAAATATGGAGAATTGGAAAAATTAAAAGTAAAAACAAATAAGAGAAAACTGAAAAAATTTTTTTGAATAAAAAAGACGTTTATTTATTTAAAAGTAATTGTCATCGTATCTGTCAATTTTTCGAAATAAAAGCATGGCTAATAAAAAAGAATTAGTTAGTTTAAGTGATAAAAATTATGATATAATTGATAATAAAAATGGAGTGTTAAATAATGACCATATGCATGAATTTCAAAAGCTTTTAGAAAGACTGTCAGATTCGTTTTATAATATGCAAAGCACTTTATGTTTACAAGTACTTGATATGATAATTCCAATCGAAAAAAATAAGAGGCACATTCAAATACTTTTTAGTAGTTCTTGCAAATCAGGTCACTGGATTTGCACTTATTATGATGAAACAAGACTTTATATTTTTGACAGTCTTAACAAAGGATCTTTAAATGAGGATCAACTCAACTATTTAATTAGATTATATCCATTTAAGCCACTAGTGGTATTTTCAAAAGTTCATCAACAACCGTTAGGCAGTGTTGATTGTGGAGTATTTGCTATAGCATTTGCAACATCTTTATTTTTTAATGAAATGCCAAACACTGTCTATTATGATTACACAGCCACAAAAAAAAAAGTTCTGATCTGGGAGTCTCACTATGTAGACTTTATGGTTTTTGGGTCGCTGAATCCGAATACGAGGTCCATTTAACCCCATCAGATCAGGATTTTGACATAACCTCAAAAACCCAATATGGCGGACACATTTTTGAAAAGTTCATTGGATTCGCTTGAAATTCGTTATTTGGGGGTTTTTGGGGTCGCTGATTACGAATTTGAAGTCTGATTTCAAAAATTCAAAATGGCGGATCCACTATGGCGGACATGTTTTTGAAAAATACATCGGATTCGCTTGAAATTCGTTACTCTGGGGTTTTTGGGGTCGCTTATTAATTCTAATTCATTGTCATTCTGTACATCCGGAATAACTTTGGGAGAAATTTAAAGGTCAAATGTCAGAAGACTATTCAAAAATTGACAATATTGAAGCTGAAAAAACAGCTTATAGAAATATAAAATCAATGTTATTGAATAAAGGATATTGTTTAACTGATTTTCAGGGTTTATTAGATATAGATGAAAATTTCCCTGCGCAGGTTGATGATATAAATATTTTTGAACATATAAAGATAGGAGAGCAGAATTATACTAAATTAAATGTTAAACAAAAAAATATAGTTGATTATATACTTGAAGTAATATAAGATTCTTCTTCTAATAGTTCGAAATGCTTATATATTATATTGGTTGCGGAGGATCTGGAAAAACTTTTTTATAAACTGCCTTATGGCATTTATTAAAAAGTAAAGGAATAAATATTTGCAACATGGCATTTACAGACATAGCTGCCACACTGCTTCCTAATGGGAAAACTGTACATAAAGTCTTAGGCTTACATGTTCCATTGTACAGTGATTCATTTTCAAATATTAAAGTTCAGTCAAAAGGACAATTTTTAAAAAATATTGATGTTTTTATTTGGGATGAACCACCAATAGCTCCAAAAATATGCCTTAGAAGTTATGGATAAGCTATTAAGAGATATAATGAAATCAAATGAAGTTTTTGGTGGAAAAATTGTAATCCTAGGAGGAGATTTTCGACAAATTTTACCGATAAAAGAACGAGGTGGTAGATCAGAAATAATAAATTTATCAATAAAAAATAGTAATTTATGGCAACATTTTACAAAATACACATTAACAGAAAATATGACAGCTTTACCAGAGGAAACAGAATTTGTAGATTTTCTACTTAAATTGGCAATGGCGAATTAAATGATATAGATGATAACATCGAATTACCAGAACATATTATTCAACAAGGAAATATAGATATTGCTGAAGAAATATATAGTCATTTGATACAACAAAAAAATTTAAGGATTTGCCAATGTGTGCAATTTTAGCACCAAGAAATGTTAACGTTGATGATATTAATAAGAGGGTGGTAAATCTCTTAGACAGTAAAGGTGAAAAAATATATAAAAGTATTGATTCTACTGAAAATTGTGATAATGGAAAATTTTCTGAAGTTTTATTACCAGAATATTTAAATACTCTCTCTTCACCTTCTTTACCACCCCATGAATTACATTTAAGAATTAATTCTGTTTTCATATCAATAATCATTTGAAGTTAATTTTTAAAACCAATCATTTAAGTTGTCCAATTTCTCCTGTTCTAGCAATAAAAAATTCACAATTACATGATAGTAGTCAAAAGAAAAAAAATATTCATTAAAAAAAGTAGGGATGAAATTTAAAAACATTATTATGAGAGACAAAAATTTTCAAATTCTCTGTATTTATTTCAAAAACGGATTACTTTAATTAAATTTAATACTTCATTTTAATTATTTGAGTTTAACAGGATATAACTATTTTTCAAATTATTACCAAAATATATTTAATTTAATCAATTTTTTTTTATTATAAAGTTTCTTATAACTAATTAATTGTTATATTATTCAATGTGAGTATTTATGATTAATAATAAGTAATAGATTTGTTAATTTTTATTGTACTAAATTATAAAATTATTCTTTTTTTTAAAGTAATATTATTCTTAATTAATTTTATGATAAGTATAAAAAATTAATTAAAAAATGGATTATATAATGTCTATTTGAGTGTTTCTGACATATATATAACTAGAAGTTCGTTTTGTCGAACAATTTAAAATGACAGTTTGGTTGTCAAGATGACTGCAAAACAAAAATTTCGTTCGTTTAACGGTTCGTTTCGTCCAAATGAATCACTTGTGATTTGTCCAACTTTTTTATATGTCCCACAAAAATAACATTTTTTCCATCGGCTTATTTGTATCAAATTTTTTATATAATTGATATTTTTACAAGACTTTATCTACATACATTCTTTAGAAAATGCAAGTATAATGTAGGGGATAGTGGGACAAAGGCGCTATGCGGGGCAAAGACGTTTTTTAAAATATCTCCTCTATTTTCTGTCTATTCCAATTAGTATTAAAAATTAAGTTGTAATGCAATCAGACCAATTGATTACAAAAAGAAAAACCTAAAAATATAAAATATTTTAAGAAATATAACCAAAAAATTGTTTTGCAAAAATAAAATGATAATTTTACTGAACAAACTTTTATTTTTTAAAACATAAGTTTAAGGATTTAATTTTTAAAAACGTATCATGTAAATAAATTAAATATTTCTCTACACAACTGGCGTGGTGTTTTAGTTTAATTTTGTATCTAAATATTTTAAATTTAAAGTAAAAAAAAAGTTTGTTATGTGGGACAAAGGCAATATTGAACATAATTTGGTTAAAAACAATTGAATATTCGAATTTTTTATGTGTTAATTCACAATATTAGGTTAAAATCACTAAAAGTTTTTATTTTCTATTTAAATAGTTTAATTCTTTTAATATAATATGTTGTTAACCTTATGTTTCGTAAATATTATACTAATAAATATCACTTGTTAATTTTCTTAAGGCCTATAAATGCTTTCTTTTAGAAATATAAGCGAAAACGTCGCTGCCCCAGCGTGTGGGGCGAATGCATTTTTTGCATTGTTTTTGAATTTCATTAAATAATGTATTTATAATTATAAGATACTAAATAACAACTATTAAAATTTCTTGTTGATTAGTTTTAGAATAATGAAAAACAAAGACCGCATAAATTAATTGCTTAATTTAAAAAATAAACATCGATAAATGTAAACCTAGCGCCTTTGCCCCACTCTCCCCTAAACAAATTTTAAAGTTACTTTTACAATTGAAAATTAATTTTTGTATATAAAATATATACT